TATTAAGGTCAAAAATAATAAGATTTTATTTTATTTGATGATTAAGGACATATATAAGGAATTACATAATAATTTTATGAAATTCTAATAAAAGATAATCAAAAAGTTAATAAAATAGATTAAGAAGAATTAACTAAATAAATGTATATATATTATTTTATGCCTGAAATCTTTAATATTATATAAGAATATTAATAATAAAAATAACATAATTAACTTGTATAATTTTTAGAAGATACACAATTTCTTATTATATAAAATCTAATGGAATTTCATGAAGATTTTTCTAGATAAGCAAAGAAATTTACAAAACATACAGTTACAGATCCTGCTTTATATGCATCCAGTTATACTAATTGTTCTGAACTCACTAATAATAATATTAAAACTATTTTAAGAAGAAGAATGTTTACAGAAATAGACAGAAGTTTAATAAATGAAGAATTTGCTAAAAGTGCCATCAAATTTATATAAAATAATGTAATTCTTCTGATTATTTGTAGCTTGATATCTATGTCACCTACTTCATTAAATTTCAATTATAGTATTATCCTATTTAGAATGAAAAAGTTAAAGGTTTTTATATACTAGAAATAATTGATTATAGAAAAAATTATGATAAAAAAGTTGGAAGTGAAGCTGTCTTTAAAGATCTTGAATCTTAAATGAAATAATCAATAAGAATATAAAGTTAATTTATGTAGAGAATTGAAAATTAAACTGATTTTGATGAAATTAATGTATGTTAAGTAGCTAAATCTAATACAAATACTACTGAAAATTTAAGACTTGAAACAAATGGCAATTCTAGTAAAAGAGTTATATTTCTTAAACCTGAGATTTAAAGTTAATTAAATGATTTTGCAGGAGTAGATAATTCATGTTCAAGTTCTGATGAAAAATAAGAAGATTATTTTTCACCTCCTCAATCAAATAGGTTGTAATTTTGTAAAGAAAATGATAGTATATAACCTCATCAATAGAGTGTTAAGAATCAAAAACGAAATATTAGTGAAATGGAAATGGCTATTAATTAAAGTTAATCTAGTGGTATATCAAGATAATCAAGTAGAACTAGTACATATTTTAATAATCTTTTTTAAAATAAAATTAAATATTCAAATAATGTAAAAGCAATAATCATAATATGTATGTTAACTGTTACAGTTAATCTATTTTTATGTATTTTTAATAGTATTAAACTTTATTCAGGATATTAGAATTTTTAAACAATAACTACAAATATGAAAGTACCTATGAATTTAAATAGATATTATTCTAAAACAGCAACATTGGCTTGGATAACTATTTGTTCTAATTATAGTATATTAAATATTAGTTAGTTCTAGAAAAATCAAAACAAATATTAAATGTAATTAATTAATGAATTCATGTTGGGAAATGTCTCTTTAATATATCCATCTTTAATTGAAACTGAAGAATAAATACCTTATATTAATTAATCTTAAGGATTATATAAGTATTAAGAAGTAAAGCTTACTTAATTTATAGATTATATGAATTTCTTTACTAAATAAATATTGATTAATGAAGATATTAATTTAGATTATATATAAGCTATGATTATTTTAAGATATAATATAAAAAATATGCGTAATATAACAGTATAAATAATGGATGAATTGGAAAATTAATTTAAATTGATCACAGATTTATAATAGACTAATCAATTGATTTCCATTATTACAAATTCAATTTTAATGTTAATTCTATATTGTGTATAATTCATATTTTGTTTGAAAATAGAAATTCAAAATTAGACTCTTACTTTATTAGTTGGAAGAGTAAAAGAATAAGAAATTATGAATGAAATTGTGAAAGTATAATATCTATTATAGTCTTTAAAAAATATTGCTGGAGAAGATTCATGGAAAAGAATCAATTTTTGGTCTTATGTCTTCTAGAATGATTATGATAACATATATAAAGCTAGACTTATTTAAAATAAATCAAATAGAACTTCAAATTTAAATTCCAGAATAAAACACATAAGAATTAAATTTTAATTTCAATTATTAAAGATAATAATTTTCTTATTAATTTATTTATGTTTCATTTGGGGATTATATATATTATATAATTCATAAACTTAATAAATAAATCCAATTGTATAATTAGAAGCTTAATATGTTAAATTTAGTGTTAATATTGATATTCTTGTATTTAGTGGATTGATAATAAAATCATAACCTTAAATTTATAATAAATTTATCGAAAATAAAATTTATACTTAATAATAGATAAATACATTTGATGATGGTAATCAAATGATATAATTATTCACTGAATTGTAAACAACATTCAGTGAAACTATGAGATCTTTATTTAATGATGTAATTTCTACCTTACCATAAACTGATGATGTTAGTTCTTTAAAAAAACTCATTGATTAAAATGTTTGTTTAGTACTTTATAATGAAATACCATTCTGCTAATATTATAATAGTTCCTAAATTGAATTTATTAATAAATATGGTTAATATTATGAATATGACAATGATTTGGATTATTTAAAAAGTGGAATTCTAGGAATTATGGGTATATAAGCTAGCTATTATTAATTAAATTATGGATATGAAATGGATTATATTTAATTTAATCCAAATCAAAATGAAATCAATAGTGTTTACTAAACTATTGAATTTAATCATATAATATTATCTCATTTTAAAGATTCGTATCTATGTTTTGTAAGATTTTTAGAACTTCTTACTAAAAATATCTCAGATATCAGATACTCTGATTTCATTATTTTGTTACTCTATATTTACATTGCAGGATTACTATATTTCATTTTATATATAATATTCCATTACTTTTGGATAAAGAAGTCCAATAAATACATAAGATCATTAAAACTAAGCCTTGTTGTTATTCCGAATGAATAATTATTCAATAGTAGCATTATCAATATATTAAGAAAATTTGAATGAATTAATTAAATTTATATTAATTATTACATTATATGTTTTTTTTAGCAGTTGGATTCTTCATGGGATTACCCCTAGGATTTTATTTTAGAGAGCACAATTTATAACCACCTGTTGCTATAAATATGGAATCAATTAAAAAGGCTTTTGAAATATTTGCAGAAAAGGAAGACAAAGATGATGATTGATTATATACCTTATTTATTTAAGGAGAGATTATATACATTTAATTAAAATATCATTTATCTATCATTTATATTAAATTCTAAAGTGAAGTTTAAATTACCAAAGTTTTAATATGATTTAAAACGATTGAAAATAATCCATATATATAATTAATTTTTATAAAGAAAAAAATGATTTATATGTATAAGTAAAAAAGAATTAATAAAAAAATAAAATAGAATTTTTTCATCTCTCTTTCTAAAACTAAAGTTCTAAAATTATAAAAACTTCTTTATACCTCTTATTTTTCTATAAAAGACTATAATAATATTTTGAAAATATTTATTCTAAGCTAGATTAAATAGTCAATTACTTTAAAACAAAAGTGATATTAAATCTTAATTATATTTTGAGATTACTGTTTAATTTAAAGTACTTAAATGAAGATATTAGTATTTAAGTATATCTTAATTAAAAGATTTTATTAGTATGCTATTTTTCATTTTTTCATTCTAATTGATTAAATATAAAAAAATAAAAGTAGTTTAATGATTTTAATATTTTAGTTAATTAGCATAACAGTTCCAAAAATTGAATAATAAATTATAAGATAAATTTTATTGTTACTATTAAGTATTATTATCCTCATCCTTTTTCCTAAATAAGATTGTATATATAAAGATCATAAATGTTTTTTTATTGATTAACAGTTTTTAAAATCAAAGATAAAATTAATTCATTTCTTTCTAAAAAGTATTTACTATATTTTTTAAATATAAAGCAAGACTTTAATCTCTCATTTATTTATATCATTATATTTGATATTGAATTTCTTGAATCTATGTAAATTTACTCATTGCCATAGTAGTAACTGTATATTGATAAATCATTAATCTTGTTTAAATACTTATTTCTCTTAAAATTTTGAATAGTTTAATAGAATCTATTGAATTATGAGGAACTTTAATAATTTTTTGGTTCTGTTTTGATATACAAATTCTAATTTATTTGCACTTTTTATATTATAATAACAATAAGTAAATTAAAATGGCAGATGATGGAGGTGCAGATGTAATAATAGTCCTCTATATTTTAAGAAGGGAGAATATATTGGAGAAGAAGTAGCTAAGGCTATTGATGATGGAATTAATGCTGTGTTTTAATTGAAAGAAGGTGAGAATCCTCCAGCCACTTTAATTTATTCAAAAGAAAAGGTTATTAGTTGGAGTAATCAACTGTTAGACTATACAAATAGAAATTTGAGTAAATTAGATAAACCATTCAAGTATTGTGTAAGTTGCATCATATAACAAAATAATGATTCAAAATTTACAGTTGCACGTATTGATTGATTTATAATATATAGTTGGTGCTAGTTTTGATACAAACACTGATGGTATATGTAGTGCATAAAGAGAAATCAATGACATTGTAATTATTATATCTGTATTTGCAATGTTAATATGAATTATTATTATTCATTTTATGTCAATTTAAAATAAATTATTTAAAAGTAATTCTAAATAAAATTACAATCATCAGACAAAATATAAAAAGACATTCAAGTTAACTAATTTTGTAATTTCTAAATAATAATTTCTTTAAATTCAAATTCTATTGCCATAATTTCAATTTTATCAATTTTAATTAATTTTAATATTTAAATCTGAATCACCAAATAAGTATTGGATGTCAACACTTAATAATTCAGACAACTCTATACAAATATTATTATTATTTTTGATTAGAAATTCACTAAATTAATTTATTTGTGCCAATATAATATGAAGTTTAAACTTTCTTATACAAAGCATATCTTTCATCTTAATTTTGTGATATTTAAATGAAATGAAATCTTAAATAATCCTTAAAAAAATAAATAATATGTCAAATCTAGATCCAATTATCTATCCACATTTAAAAGTGAGTGTGCCTTCATTTTTAATAAAAACTTATGAAATATTGGAAGTATATATACTTTATTTCATCTTTAAGAATGAATCATTATCAAATCTCATATCATGGAATAAGGAAGGGACAGCATTTATAGTGTACAATCCTCATGAATTATCATCAAAAGTTTTGGCAAATTACTTTAAACACAAAAATTATCCTAGCTTTTTAAGGTAACAAAGCAAATTTATGTAGATAATTAAACATGTACAATTTTAAAAAGACTAGAAATCAATATGGCTCTAGTGAATTTAGACATAAATGGTTCAAGAAAGGATAAAAGTATGATAAATATATTTATTACCTTTAGAAACATGATCTAATATATTAGACGAAGAAATCAAGAGGAATCAGATTCAAAAATAGAAACAAAAGAACAAAAAAATCATGAACTTGATTATTATAAATAGGAACATGAAAATATGAAAATAATGCTTTCAGATATCCAAGAATGTCATAGAAATATGCAATAGAATCTGTCTAAAACAATTGACTAATCAACTTCATTAAATAGATAAAATTTTATCACTTTACAAGTATGAAAATACCATAATTATAGACTATTCATTAAACATAATTAGAGTTTAATAAAAAGTATGATTATGTGACCATCATGTTAAAAAATGTCTTGACTAATCTTCCAAATATATGTATGATATATAAACTTTAAAATACAGTAACAAATTTCAAAGAGATTATCAAAGTATGTCAAGAAGAGACCAATTTCTAACAGACATTACCTTGTTTAGAAAATGGATCATCATCTTAATATCCATAAGTTTTACCCTATAATCAATACTAATTTTATACCTAAAAATAATAGCCATGTATATTTTGTTGTTATAAAATTTCAAGTTTATTTTTACGACTAGAAATAATATTATTACAAAAATGTTCCCTAGCTAGCCATAACCGACGTATAGAGCAATTACTATTGTAAGATTCATATTTAATTTAAGCCCCAACAAGTTATTCAGTTTCAAACAGTCAATAAAATTCTCCCTATAGAAACTATAATATTTCATAACAAAAGTATCTTTTAGATTAAGCCAATATAGATTAGGTATAAATTATTCTATTTTTAGTATAGTTTATATCAATAAGTATGATTTTATAATACATAATTTTGTTACTCAATAATCATTAATATTAAAATTCTAGATTGATTAATCCAGTGTTTTTAGAGAGTTCTGTTAAAAATTATATTGTTATTGATTCTCGAATAGTTGGTGTTTCCTCATTCTATGTTCTCTGTGTGGATCCAACATATTATGAGTTACTCATATCCTTTGGCTAATAAGATCTTCTATATTATGGAGATCTGGCTCTATTGTGTTAATAAGAATTTGGGGATTGTTAAGGTTGATAACTTTTAACAGTTCTTTAAATTTAATAGGGTTCTATTTTATATTTTTAGGGATTCATTTTTAATTTCTATTCCTATTCTTTTTAATTAAATGCTTTTAATGGTAATAGAAGAATATCTTTAATAGGACTACGAGCTCTCTTACTCACTTAATTATTTTTCTGAATTTATTTAATGTTTACAAATTCTACATCTTATACATCAGTATATTAGATTTCTCTAATTAATATCATATCATCTGATTGACATATATGATTTTATCTAAATATCATTTAATCATTATTATCTAAAATAGATTTCCTATTCTTTGTTTATTCATAATCTTATATGATTTTGATATTTTTTTCTTAAATAATAATAAAATCAAAATGTTTTTTATTTCTATTCCAAGTTTCAAGAATATATTAACACACAGGTGATTCTAAATTACATTTCTTTTATTTAAGATCAAATAAATAAGTATCTAATTGTTTAGCAATTTGATTGCTTCTTTATTAAATCATTGTAACTACTTTTCTTGAATAATCTTATCTTACAAATTGCAATATTTTATTATTAATATATATTCTGTTGTATTCCTTTATAAATTATTCTCTATCTTAATAATTCTAAAGAAAGTTTTCTATTGAAATAATAAATGTGCCTATATCTTCACATTATAATAGAATTGGTTACAAAAAGGATAGATATGTTAGAACACATTTTATTAATGCTTTAGATCCATCAAGTAATAACAAATCTATTATTGTCTCACTCAATTTATTGTGAAATGTAAAACAACAAACTAACCATTAAATTGTAAATAAACTTGTTTCAACTTATAATTTTTCCATATGATTTAACAATTATGGTTTTAAGAATACTAAAATATCTTTAATAATAAAATCATCACATTGAACTCCATACAAATGATTATAATAATTAGGTGGTAATATAGTCTCAAATAAATAGCATAAAAACCAAAAAGTTTCCTTAAATATAATGAAAATCATACTTCTTCATTGAAATACTAAAGGAAATAGTAAGCTATATAATTAAATCCTTAACAATATCCAACTTAAGCATTACGAATACTATATGCATTAAGAACATTACTCAATTTTACTCTACATTCTTCATCCTAAGTTGTTCTTACTATATCCTTTTTAATAATTTCTTAAAATTAAGAAGGAAAATTCTAAATATTCTATATATTCTAATAATAGCATGTATTGGAATTTAGATTATAATTTATATTTGATAAGACTCTCCAATATTATTTCAAAGATTAACTCTAAACTTTCTCTCTTAAAACACATCTCAAGGCTTAATTCACACAACTATATGAATTATTACAAATTTTCACTAACTAAAATTTGATTCTTAAATTACCTCTTACTCCTCATCAAATAATTGAAAGTATTTGATTTATACATTGAGCAATGATCTTTTTTTTTCATTCTTTTACATATCTCCTTTCATATTCTAAATGTAGAGTTTGCTCTATAAAAAATTTGTCATTATTTTAATTTCTTCATCTTTTTCTTTTATCATTATTAATAAAAAAATAAATTCATATTTATTTCCTAAACATTAGATTGTCATTTAATTATTATTTATTATAATATATTCATCCTTCACTTTTGTTTAATCAATATCCTTATTTCATGGATATTTAGACTAATAAAATATATATTCTATTTTAATTTTATTATTATTAAAGTAATTTGTCATTATATATAATTTTAGAGCAAGTCAATCAATTTAATCTTAAATTCTATCAAATATAATTTCGAAAATCTAAATTCTTATGATAACATAGTTAATATTAATTATTTATTAATAATCATTAAAATAAACATATCTAGCTAGGTTTATTCATTTGATTTTTATAAACATATATATAAATTATTATTTTCTATTTTGTAATAAGCATAATTATCAATTAATCTTTGAATTTATTTGATTTATTAATCTATACTTTTTACATTTATCCTAATTAATTAATTTTAAAGAATAAAGTTATCATTATTTAAAAAAAGAAAAATTTACTTTGTATTACTCTTATTTATTTAGTCTAGTTAAAGAATTACTTTAAATTTTGTATTAATTATTTATTATATATCAGATAATTGAATGAATTAAATTTAATTTTATATTTCTAACAATGTCTTAAAATAAAAGTACGTTCGATCACTTAAATAGTTATCTTACTAGGCGACTGTGGAGTAGGCAAGACAACCATTCTGCACAAGTAACTTTACTGAATGAGATCAAGGTTCTTAGATATCAATTCACAACCTGAAACCACTATTGGAGTTTAGCATCATTCATTTTCTAGAAATAATATAAAATTTTCAATTTGGGACACTGCTGGATAAGAAAAATATAGATCAGTTGTTTCAAGGTATTTTGTTTATTATATATTAAATATAGTCATTATAAAAGAGCCAAAGCAGCTTTATTAATTTATGATTGTTCAAGTGAAGAAACTTTATTACATATTGATAAATGGATTGAAGAATTAATATTTTAAGTTGGAACAAAAATAATAATGATTTTAATAGGAGTATTATTATATCTATTTTACTTTATTAGAATAAAACAGATTTACAAAAAGTTGATTTTAATGAATCTGTTTAGAATTTGTAAGATAAATATGAAATAAATTATCATATATTAACAAATTATAAAGATGTTGAATTCAAAGATAAAATGAATTAAGTGTTCGATTAAATAAGTATAAGTAATATTTTACAATATATTTATGTTTGGGATTGCTTGTTTAAAATTAATAATATTCATCAAATAAATAAATATTTGCATTAAAATAAGATGTAATTCCATTTAAATCTTCAACACTCTTTAATAATTATGCATCAGGTGATCCAGAAATTGTTTAAAATGGAAAAGAGAAACCTTAGGATGTTTCTAGAGGTAATGAAAATGATAGATAATCTTGTGAGTGTTGATTATATATTATTAAATAAACTTATTTTTATAAATCATTATGATATTATTCATCAAATTAAAAGATATCAAGAGAATAGTATTATATAAATTAATTTATAGAATCAAGCAGTATAGTTTTTCTTTTTTATATAGAGATTATAAATTTACAGTTTTTATCCTAATGATTTTGAAGCATTTTGCCGCTCCCAATTAATACTATCAATTTAAGTTGATTAATTTTATAAAAAACCTGTTCTAATCTAACTATAGAATTATTCTAAGACTTCTTATTAAGCTTTAATATCTATTTCCATTAGATCTGGTGATTTTTATTAATTACAAAGTTGTTTAGCACATTATTTTAATAATGCTATGAATTCATAAAATGGTTAAATTAGATCAATCTTTTCTACTATAGGTTATTTAATTTTAAACATTGATTAAATGTAACTACTTCGCCAATTAAAATAACTATCTTTCCACCATTATTCCTATTTTCTAATTAATGTATTAACAGCTAATAATACTTCAATTGAGATCTAATTAATTTGTAATATAATATTACTTGAACCAGTTGTGCTTGATAATAATGAAAAAGTTCAACAGCATTTTCATTAAAACTAATTTATAGTTCTTAAGCTCCAAAAGAAACTTCTATTAATTGTTTCAGCAAATAAATTAATTAAATGGCTGCATCAGTTTCAGGATTAAAGTTCCTTATTAAAATAACAGTTTTATTATTTAAAATTGTTTTAACTTCATTTATGGCTACCCAAGTTTTACCTTCATTTACAATTCTATTTTTGTCTATATGTTTTGATAAAAAAGCTGATAAATCTGGAAAATTTAATTTTTCTAAACTAATCTAATCAAAAAAGTAAATCAATTCTCGAATTGTAGTAAATTAAGAAGTAAATGATGTTTAATCTTTTTTTTTTACAGGATTACCCATATGTTTTTAAGATTAACAAGTTCCCATATTAATAAAAATAAATAAATTTTGAAAAATTAAGTATATCTATAATTCAACTATAATAAAATAGAAATATCATGATTATTGATTATGTACCCATTTTCTTGCAAATAGAAATGGATCATTTTAATGTTTAATATTGTCTTAAAGAATATCAATCAAAGTATCGAAATCTGAATTTTATTCTTTTATAATTATTTAATTCAATAAACTTACCAAATACATACTCAATAATTTACCTTAATCTTCTAATAAAGTGTTAAAGAAGATTTAAAAAGTGTTATCCATTGTAAAATTTAGAATATATTAAACTTTATCATAATAATTATTTAATTAATTAATCCATTGATTTAATTATTCTTTTATTGTTTAAGGTGCAAAAGAATAAAAAGCTTTTGCTTTAATAGCCAATAATTTTCTAAATAGAAAATTACATTTTTATTTTTATTCAGTAGAACAATCCATAGATTTAATTATATTTTCTAAATATATACAAAAATTATAAGTTGGTAAAACTATTGCTGGTAATTATGATTATTATATTTTAAATCTTAATTTTTTTTATTTTTCATTATTTTTAATAATATTATTATTATTATTATTATTATTATTGGTAGAAAATGAACATTAAGTAGAACATTAACCCATTTATTCATGATTATCATTATTAAGTTTCTTAGATGAAGTATGAGAGATTAATTTTGGATGATCTTCATTTAAATTAAAATCAGATACAAGATTAAATTTAATTTTTTCTTCTAACAACTTATTTGGGCTTAGAAATTTTATTGATTCAAATGTTTAAGCTTTATTATGAGATTAAACCTTTTTCTAATACTTTTATCTTTAACTTTACATAGTTGGCTATTATTTTGGTGTTGATAATGGAGAATTTGGATTGGATTGAACAAAATTATATGATAATTTAATGAATGGTTATTGTATTCTTGGTGATACATTTTCTAGTTCTTTTTGTGATAGATATGATATAATCTAATTAATATTCTCTCTTGCATTTGGTTCTATTTGTAACATTCCAAACAGTAATTATTTAACTACACCTTAATATTAGAGATCTAATTTTTGACATTTTTTTAGTATGTCATCATGAAAAATTCTTATATCGGCTTTGTATGGTGGTATACTATTAAAAATCAATTCATATGACATAATCCCTAAAGCCCATATATCACTCTTTTCAGAATATTGATTATTAGATAGAATTTCTGGAGCCATGTAAAGAGGAGTGCCTACATTGAATTTCTTGATAATGCTTTCAAATTGATCTTCAATTAAAGCAAATCCAAAGTCAGCTAATTTATATATATTGTCATGGATTAATATATTGGCTGGTTTCAAGTCTCTATGTATGATTTCTAAAGTAAAATTATTTTTGTTACTTTTTTAATGTAGAGCCTGTATTCCCAAAGAGATCTATCTTAAAATTGATAAGACTCTAGGGACTGAGAATTCAGTTTTTTTCATCTGCTGTTCCAAATTGCCTTCGTTACAAAATTCAGTTACTATGTATGTATTATTGGAACTTTGACTAACTTCATATACCTTCATTAAATGTTGATGATCAATTCTAAGGAGTATGGATATTTCATTTTTTAACAAGGATTTTTAAATTGGAGTGGTATATGTTTGAGAACTAATAATTTTAATAGCCACTTTTTATTTAGTATTTATGTGTTCTCCCAAATATACTTTTGAGGAATATCCAGATCCAATTTCTTTATTAAAATCAAAAATGTAATCCCCTATTTATTTTATTTTAGGTTCATTTTGAGTGTTCATGTAATATAAATAAAAGTTTATTGTTTAAGATTTATAAATTATATTTTTTTAATTAATAAACATTAAGCTTAGAATAGAGAATATACAATATTAGTTACATTTTTGCCTATAAATTGAAAATCAATTGAAATGATTAGATTTCTCATATAAACTTAAAATTAGTGGGATAATTAAAGTAAATTATTAATTATTAAGTTATAATTCCTTAAAAAACTTGAATACGGTTTGACTAATTAAAAAACCTTTTGATTGTTATATTATAATAATTAAGCTTTGTCTTAATTAAATATATAGATCATATATTTGGAATTTAAATAGGATATATGATTTATTATTATTTTACTCAAATATAAAATTATGGGTTCATGCAATGGCTAACCTAAAAGAATGGTTAATTCTAAAAGAGAAAGTCTAACTACTTTTCATAAGATTTAAGAAGCTTCTACAATAAAATCGAACAAAAGTTTAGTGAAATAAAGAACAGATTTTAAGGTTGCTCCAAGCATATTTGTGTCCTTAAAGAGTGGAGATATTTGTCAATACTATGAAATAGAATCTACTTTAGGTGAAGGTAATAAGATAATTTATATAAATCAAGGAACTTTTGGAAGAGTTAGTTTGGTTAAGTAAAAATCGACGAATATTTTTCGTGCAATGAAACAAATAGCTAAAGACAAAATCTTAGCATGTCAAAGAGAAAAGATGATTCAAGAAGTCAATATTCTTAAAGATCTTGATCATCCAAATATAGTGAATATATATGAGCTTTACTAAGATGAACGCTATTATTACTTGATAACTGAGTAAATAGAGATAATTAATTAAGATATTTAAGTGGAGGAGAGTTGTTCGATAAAATCTAATAACGGAACAATCTAAATGAGAGTATGGCTGCTAATTATATGAAATAAATATTAAATGCTGTGAATTATTGTCATTAAAGAAACTTAGTTCATAGGTATATAATAAAATAAATATTTAGGGATTTGAAACCAGAAAACATACTATTTGATTAAAGAGGATCTGAATAAATAATTAAAATAATTGATTTTGGAACTGCTAAATAAATACTTTCTAATACTTAATTGAAATAAAAAACTGGAACACCTTATTTTATAGCACCTGAAGTTATTGATTAAAATTATAATAATAAATGTGATATATGGTCATGTGGTGTAATATTATATATAATGATGTGTGGAAAGCCTCCATTTAAAGGAAATAATGTGGATGAATTATATAGAAATATAAAAAATGGGTATGTAGATTTTACTGGTAATTTATAATATAAAATAATAAATAGGTTCTGAATGGTATGATGTTTCTTAGGATGCTAAATCTTTTATATCAAAACTCTTAGTTGTAGATCCTGTTAAGAGAATGTCAGCAGAATAGGCATTAAAGGATAATTGGATTGTGAGTAATAAAAGAATAGAAAAAATTAATACAAGAAATCTAGAAAATCTTTCTTAATTTCATGTTTTTTGATTTATTTTATCTTTTGTAGAATAGCAGTAAATTAGGTTCAGCAATTTTATAATTGATAACAACTTAAATAATGACTTCGAAGGAGAAAAAAGAATTAATAAAAGGATTTAGTGCTATAGACAAAAATGGTGATGGTTTATTAAGTAAGGATGAATTAATATAATGTAAAAATGTAATTTATTTTAGGTTATATGGAAATGTATTAAGATGAAATAAAATGCCATTAAATAGTTAATAAGATTTTTAAGTATTCTGATGTTGATTGTTCAGGAACAATTGAATATACAGGTAAAGATAGTTAAATATTAATAAGAGTTTATTGTAGCATATTCAGAGTTATAAAATTTAATGGCTTAAGAGAAACTTGAAAAAGCTTTTAAATTATTTGATAAAGATGGAAATGGAACTATAAGTAAAGGAGAACTTTAAGAGATATTTGGAGGATTAGCTTTAAATGAAAATTAGTGGGATAATGTTTTTTCTGAATTAGACACTAATGGAGATGGAGTTGTGACATTCTAAGAGTTCACTTAATTATTGATGAAAGATAACAATAAATGAAAATTCGAAGATTAATATTTTTTCTTTAATAATATTTAATATATTTATGTAAGATTTAAGGTGTTCAATTGCAGATCATAACAAAAAAAAGTTTGTATCAATTACTCTTCAAAAAGAAGCTGAAAAAAGATTATTCTGTTTTCAATGTTAAAGTGATGCTAGTGGTGGAGATATCACAAAATCACAATTAGTAAGTAAACTTAAACTTTGTGATTTGGATGAAGTTATGGAAGGCAATGCTTATTCTGTATATAATTGGCCAGCTGATGATGAAGGTATCAAAGTCAAAGACTTTTTACTTGGATATAAGGTAATAATAGAATGTAAGTTTCGTTTAGAGTATCGATTAATAAAGGAAGGATGTTGAAGATTTCTTTGTTTAGATGAAATAAAAATTGAATGAATAAATTGAGAATGTCAAACAACTATTAGTGGAAGCACTTAATGCAACATAATTCATAAAAGATGAAAAACTTAAATAAGAGGAGCCAGAAAAGAAGGATGTTAAAAAAGATGATAAGAAGGAGACAAAGAAGGATGATAAGAAGGAAACAAAAAAAGATGATAAGAAAGATACAAAAAAGGATGATAAAAAAGATGAGAAGAAAGATCTAAAGAAAGAAGGTATTTTAGATTCTTATATAAAATAGAAGAGAAATTAGATTTATCACCAACTATTGAAAATCTAAAGAAACATTATGATATTATTTATGATCTTACAAAAATTAAGACACTCATTAAAGAAAATGCCAAAAGTGATCCAAATCTATTGAGTGCTAAAATAAATGAATATTTAAATGATTAAAAAAGATCTGAATAAATCATTAACATGAAAAAAGTATTTTAAGGAGTCATGTCAGGAAAAGTTGGATTTAATTAAATAGCATCTAATAGATAAGCATTAGAAAGTTATTGGGAATAAATTTAAACTAGCATTTAATAATGGCCTGTATTAAATTAATTTATTTAAATTTAGTATAAATTTGGAAGACTCTAATGGAAGTTAAATCCTTCTAAAGCAGATGAGTCTAAATAAATTAAATAATTGGCAGATGATTATATGGATTGTGCTGGAGCTGGATTACAATCCTAAATTATTTATTCTGAAAAAAGTTTTAGTGAAGGTCAACATGGTTGCATAGTATTATTTAAAGAATTTGATTAAAAAAGAAGTGGAGCAAATGGAAATTTCTATGTAGGAATTGTACCAGAAGAATAAAAAGATAAATCTCCATATGGATAAGGTTTTAGAAAAGATTTATTTAGTCAAAATGGAGAAGGATTGAATGTAAGAATTGGTAATGATTTCAATAATGTATTTAAAGTAATTCTAATTAAATATAAATTTAGATGCCTCCAAAATTATTGGCTGTTAAATTGGATGTTGATAGTAATTACTTTGAAATATGTGATGGTAAACGTACAGTAGTTTATGGATTGGATTAAGATAGCAAATTGAAAGGTAAAAATTGGAGAATCTATTTCTGGTGGAATATAGCAGCTGATAGAATCTAATTAATTCACAGTTATTGAGCCAAGTTTATTTTTATTAACGAAATAATATAGTTTTAAATTTATTCAAACCGTCAAAAAAAATACATTACATATGTCTAAGTAGTCTAAATAAGTAAGTACACAATTTCATTCTTAGATTCCATAAAATACATTCAATAAACAATTAAATATTCAAACATCTGCAACTCTAAAACCAAAAATTGATGATGTCTCAACAACATAAAAACCCCTCCAAAATTTATCAAATGTTCCAACTCGTACATAAGAAGACTAAGTAAAGAGAACCTAACCTAGATCTCCTATTAGATAAACTTTTGAAAAGAAAACATTGGAAAATAAATCATCTATATCCAATTTTGATGAAAAACCTATTCCTAAAATTCTTTAAAGAGGCAAATCTCCATAATCTAATTAAACTACAAGAAATATAAATACTAAAACTCAAGATCAATAGTAATCTGAAAAACAATCTATTTAATAAAAATAACCAATTTAATTTAAATCTAATGAACCTGATTAACTACCTATAAATTAGTCTAATTTTGAGAAATCATAACCCAATATAAATAAATAATAAGTTCCTGTTTAATCAAAATAACAAACAAAACTTTAACTTTAATCTAATTAACTGAAATCATAAAATAGTTAATAATAACAATAATCACTTAGACCAAAGACAGCCTCAACATCATCTTAATTATAATTAAAATAAACAATCCAATAAGATTAATAACTTAAATCTACTAAATAAGATTCACTATCAAAAACTAATACCTAATAAACAAAGTCATAATTGACTCTTAATAAAAAATAGGAAATACCAAATAAACAAAGATAACAACCAATGTTGAAAGGGGAATAAGTTGTTGAGGAGAAACTTTATTAATGTCCAGAGGGATGTGGAAGATCATTCAATGCCAAAGCCTTAGAAAAGCATTCAAAGGTAAATATGAGAATTTAATAATAATATAGATTTGTAAGAAAGTATTCCAATAGAAGAGAAAAGTTTTTAATTCATAAAAGTAAAGATTAATAGAAGTTGAAGAGAATGGACAAAATAGAGGAGGGGCAATGAAAAAATAAATACAAAAATAACCAATTAAATAAGTTTAAAAGTAATAGTAGGTAAAAAATGAGAAACCAAAATGGAAAGCTTAAAGTGAAGCCTTTAGAGCAATAATAAGGTAGGCTAAAGGAAAGAAATTAACAAAAGAAGAATAGGTATCATTGAATGGGGCTATGGAGAGTGCTTAAGATTTAGTGTAATGCAAGTTTTGCAACAGAAAGTTTAATCCTGAGGCAGCTAAGAAACATATAGTATTTTGTGAGACAAAAGCAAAATAGTGTGGAAAGAGTGGGATGTAAAAGAAAAAGAAATGATTATTTTAATTTTTAACAACTTATGAGAGGGAAGATTACTTAATAAAATAACATTTCATTTGAAATAAAAATGCGTTATCCTATGACAAATAAACACTCGTCTCCATCAGGTTCACCACGGAAGAGATTATTTTCAGCAAAAAGAGTGGGAAGTAAGGAATAACAATAACAATAACAGAAATGCAAAGCTACTGCTTCTATAAAAACTGGATCATCAATAGAAACATTAAAAGAAGTTTTAATGAAACAAACACAAATGAGTAATAAGCATACAAACAACTTGAATTATTTTGTACATAATAACAAAAGAGAAAGTTAAAATAAATTAGATACAAAAACAAGTGATTCAACAGAAAGAGTAAATATACGATAAGGTACTTTATCTAAAGAAAAAACTACAATTTCAGAATTAACAACAAAAAAAACTAGTATAACTAAAAGTGAATTTGAATGGAATAAATGTTAATTGCCACTGACACCCTAATTTTGTTTAGCAAAGTATGGATATGCATTAACAGAGTTTGAAAAGACTGAGATTCTGACTTTTAAGAGAGTATGATTTGTTATGTATGATTAGATTTATTGTATAGGAATTAATGCCAAAAAAATATAATAAACATAAAGTAATTACAATGATGGATTTGACAATGCCTAAGGAGAATATTTATATGCATTGCATGATCACATTGGTTATAGATATGAATTATTAGAACATGTAGGTTCTGGTAGTTTTGGACAAGCATTTAAAGTCTTTGATCATAAGAGACAATAAGTCCTTTGTTTAAAGGTTATTAGAAATCAAAAGAAATTTTAGAATTAGGCTTTAGTTGAATTAAATATATTATCTTTTATTAGAGATAAGGATGAAGAAAATATTACAAATATAGTCAAAATCAAAGACTTTGTTATCTTTAGAAATCATGTGGTAAGAATTATTATTTTATATTTATAGTGTATTATTTGTGAACTCTTGTCTCTAAATCTATATGAATTGATTAAAAATAATAATTATCAAGGATTATCATTAGAGCTTATTCGTAGATTTGCCATTTAAATACTCAATGCTCTCAACTTTTTATACAAACATAAAATTATACATTGTGATCTTAAACCAGAAAATATTCTATTGAAATAACCCAATAAAAGTGGCATTAAAATTATTGATTTTGGTAGTAGTTGCTTTGAAAATGAAAGAATTTATAGTTACATCTAATCAAGATATTATAGAGCACCTGAAGTTATATTTGGAATTCCATATGATATGGGAATAGATATGTGGAGTTTTGGATGTATTATGGCTGAATTGTATATTGGTTATCCTATCTTTCCTGGTGAGAATGAATAAGAATAAATTGCTTATATAATGGAAATTAAGGGAATCCCTGATCAATCCTTAATTGAAGTATTTTATAATATAAATTTATTTTATAGAAAGCTACAAGAAAGAAACACTTTTTCACTTCAAGTACTCCTTATTAACCATTACCTTATAAGAATAAAAGAGGTAAAGTAAGAGTTCCTAAATCAAAAGACTTATAATAAATCTTGAAATGTTAGGATAAATTATTTATAGACTTTTTAGATAATTGTTTTAATTGGGATCCTTAAAAAAGAATGAAACCAATTGATGCTTTAATGCATTAATGGATTTTGGAGGGATTACCAAAAGAAATTAGAACATAACATATTAAATATTTAGAATCAGAACAAATGACTTAAAAAGTATTCTTCAAAAATACTGAAACAAAAAGATAACATCATATCTCTGAACCAGAAATGGAAAAAAAGAAATCAAGTAGTAGTTATAGTTAAAAAAAATCAAAGGAAAAAGATATTAATCTGACTCTCTATGGTAATATTAATAATGACACTACCCCATAAAATAAACGTATTCTATCATAATCATTTCATACATCTAAAAATGGAAGCAATTAAAAATATTAATAATATTTTCCTGGCACAACCAAAAATTAACCATTAAAATATAAATTTTATTGAATTTATCTATATATCTATTAATTTTATAAAACTTTAAAAGAGAATTAACATCTAAAATAAAAGTAATAAATTTGAATTACTATTATTAATTTTTAATTTGATTGAACTATAATTCAAATATGTTTGATAAAGATTATTAAATAGTGTTCAAATCTCATTTCTAAAAATAATTAATGTTGATTCTTCACAAAAAAAATAAAATATCTGGCTAAAAATAAATTATCTTAACAAATTTTATTAAATAATAATTCTCAAAGTCTATTAATAATATTTATTAGAAAAAAAGACATATAAAAATTAGTATATAATTAAAAGATAATCAATATTAATGAATTAAAATAAATATTAAATTATGTATATAATCTAATCGATAGGAATGATGCTAAATATTTATATATAAGAATATAACAATAAATAATTGTATAATGTATAAATTGATTTGAAATATGATTACTTATAATCTAATTAAAAATTATTTATAATTTCAAAGTCTCTTTATTTATTTCTTATAAAAGAGTTCAAAAAACACACTTGCACCAAATCCTCCTCCTAATGGACCGCCAACAAATACCCATAAAAATTCCATTCTCTATCTATCTCCTGTTTAAAATGATTAAAAGAGCTACAAAGATACTGCCATCCCGGGGTTCAAACAACCTTTAGTAGATTCAAAATTTGAATTGTACCTCCAGAATGAAATGTAAATCCTCTTGAAAAATACAACGCCAACGCTACTAAAACATAAGTTGTCATTGGTTATCCTCCAGGCGTTAACGTTGTTTCTGAATCTGTTTATATTAGAATAAAAAGAATAAATGTGAATGTTCCAAATGCCTCACCACTAAAATCTGATAGTATCCAACTGTATTCTGTACTCTTCACTTAAGGACTATCAACTTCATTCAATATTAAGTAGCAACAGCAGGCTCCACACAAGGCTCCACTAAATTGTGCTAACCAGTATAACACTGCCTATCCAAAATTGATTCTTCTTGAAAGTAACATTGCTAAAGTAACCGCTGGATTAACATGTGCTCCTGAAAATGGTGCTGCCAAACACACAGAAGCAAAGAAAAATAAAGCTAAAAACTCATCAGACCCTTATGAACATATAATACTAATATTAAGAATTGACTTATTTACCCATAAGCAAATAAAGCCATTCCAAAAAACTCAAATAAGAAAATTCGCATCTCTTCTTTTGATTTTCCTTAGGTTGGAATGATATTTTTAATATCTGACTCTTAAGGTGTAAATTATGTTCGTTTAATAATTTTAGTGTCTTGACTCATAATAAAAAATATATGTAATTAAATTTATTTATAACATTATTATATATATATATATATCTATTATGTTATATTTAAAATAATTAGATCTCTATTAAAGCATACCCCTTCTAATTATTTTACATAAGAATTTCACAAATTATTTATAAACTAAAGTATCAAAAATTAGAATATTCAGGAAAATACTAATTGCCATAGATTTGTTCATATGTTATCTGTTTGAAATTTGAAAATTTCCTTGAAGTGTTAAATTTTAAAATTTCACATAATATCTCAACTCGCTTCCATAAAGTTATTGAATATTCTAGAGACAATTAATTCGATATTAAAATTAAAGGAATTTCTAAGAATTATTTAATTATTTTTTTATTCATTAAGCTCAAAATTGATGAAAGGCTAAAAGTTAAATGTATTAATTATCTATTAACATATAAGCTTAAAGGATAGCCGATTTAAGAAATTTCTATATTTTTTGAAAAGCCTATTTAAATATCACCACCTTCTACTCCAGAAGAAATATACACAATTCAACCTAAGTCTAGTCGCAGCACTCTCAACAACAAGAATACTAATGTGTTATCAAGTAGCTCAAATTCATAAAGAATTCTTTAATAAAATAATAGTCTCCATTTGCCTAAATTTCCAAAGAGCATTTCTCCAAAAAAGTTATGCGATCAATATATATCTCCTTTGAGATTAAAGGGATATACTTATAATGATATAGAAAGTCCTATTTAATTACGTTTACCAAATAGAAGAGCAACTAAATTATGTTCTAAGGTTTTGTAAAAGTATAAAAAAAAGTATTATATGTGATTCTATTTAAACTTCTTTATTTATATATATGATATTTAAATTATTTTAACACATACTGGTAATTAGATAGACATAGAATTTCTCTCTATTTTTTCCAACCTTTATAAAAGAATAAGTAAAACTGATTAAAAAATATTCAGTATTTATTAAAATTTAGTCATATATTCAATAATTCAATTTTTTGAATACATATTAATATATTTAATCAAAATTGTAAATAGGAACTATCAAATATTTAGAAGTCCATCTAATTCAACAGGAATATTATAATAACTTTTGATGTTGATTCAACTAATAGAAATATTGAGATTCCAATATTTTCATTTCGTACTTATGCTTAAAACTAATTCTCTTTATTTTAGAATATCTGTTTATATACATTTTAGTTCCTCAGCAACAAAACAGTTGGTGATTTATAATGTTGATTATGGGGGTATTTATTATTTTTTAATATAAATTTAATTAAAAAACATAATTGTGTTTCAGCATAATTTATATAAATAATTACCATATTAGATCATAATAAATTAGAATAAAAGAAATTTCATAAAAATGTATGAATATATTATTTAATCATTTAGGTTGAAGTTAATTAGATCAAAAGAATTCTAGTGTTTAAGAAGATTAATGAATAAATAATTTTTTATAATTAATTATCAAATATTAAAAATATAATCACTCATTTTTGAGAATCTCTAAATGTTTTTGAGTTTTATCTTATTTAAAAAAGCAATCTACTATTAAGATAACTATTGCCAAAGTGAATAACACAGCAAATGGTAGATATGGATCTATAAAATAAAGTGGTATCAACAAATATGGTGATGGAAGTACTCCTATTTTACCTATAGCCTGTGCTATCCCCTAACCTTAAGATCTAATTTTAACTGGGTAACTTTCACAACAAATGATACAAATAGTTGCAAATAAACCTCTGGTTGCAATTTTTGTTAAGAATAAAGCTAAATATAAAAATTTATCCCTAAACAAAAATAATATAGCATTTGAAAATATTAAAGTTATTGCTGAATATGCAATTATTTTTATTCTTCCTCCATATTTAGCATCATCTATAATGTTATAAAGAATAGATGCAAATATAAATTCTATTATATACAAAGCTAACATAGGAAGAAATCCAGAATTACTATTCTATAATAAAAATGGTAAAAGTAGAAAGATTGTCATTTCTTAAAAATTAGTTAAAATGTATAAAATCCATAAAAGTATTGTAACTTTTCTATATTCTTATGATAGAATGCCATATAAATTAATTTCTTGTTATAATAATTCTACTTTTTATTACTTAGACCAACTTATTAAACCATTTTTCTTTATTATTTAACAAATATACTTCAGAATCACATAATAATAAATCTATATTGCCATTTATTGTAATTTATTAATCAATTAACTTAATAGCTATTTCATATTCTCCTTTACTCAAATGAGATCTAATAGTTTCAGTCAAATATAAAATAGAAAGTATAAATGCAATAGATATTGGAATTCCATTAAATCTAATAAGTCCTCTCCAATTTCCTGATGTATAATCATCCAAAAAAATAAAACATAAAGAAACAAAGTATATTTTTCCTAAAATATAAATTAAAGTAAGAGCATAAGAAAATCTACCTCTATATTTAGCTTCAGTAATTTCTGTTACATAAATATAACCTAGAGGATTAAGTGTACCAAATGTTAATCCATATAAAAATCTTAAAATTAGCATTTCCATATATGTATCACAAAAACTTGTATAGAAAATCAAAATAACAGATAATCCAGAGAAAATAATAAATGTAATTTATCTTCCTATTATGTCAGCCAAAAAAGCACATAAAAAATTACCTAAAACAATTCCAAATAGAAAAATTGAACTTAATAATGCTACTTAATTTTATGATAAATTCCATTCCTCTTTTAATATAGTCATAAGGATTGACATAAATAGATATTCAAGACCTGCACAAAATTCTTATAATCCTATAATGGAAAGAGTTCTTGCTTAATACCAACCTGTTTTAATATTTTTTTCAAGAATTTCATCAAAAGAAATCATTTTGTAATATAATTTAATTAAGAAAATACATAAATATATATACTCATTCATTCTTCTTTTAAAGTTTCTAAATGTTTTTGTGTTTTATCTTTATCAAAAACATATGCAAAAATCAAAATTAAAATTGATAATAATGCCATTAATAAAAATGGTAAATAAGGATCAAAAAATAAAAGAGGAAATAAAAAATATGGAGAAGGAATCACTCCTATTTTACCTATTGCTTATGCTATACCACATCCTTATGATCTTAGATACAAAGGATAACTTTCACAAGCTAAAATACCTATAGTTGAAAACAATCCTCTTGTTGCAATTTTAATTACAAATAAGCCAAGATAAAGAATTTTTTCTTAAAAAATAAATAACAATCCATTTGATAATAATAAAGCAACTCCAGAATATGCTATAATATTGATCCTACCACCATAATGAGGATTATCTATAAAGTGATAGATTATAATAGAGAAGCAGAATTCAATAATAAACAAAATTAGCATTGGACTAAATCCTGAATTCTTTTGAGCTAATAAGAATGGCATCAAAAGATATATTGTCATACTTTAAAAATTAGCTAAAACATAGATTAACCAAAGTAAAAGTGTGATAGTTTTATATTCAGATGAAAATATTCCATATTTATGCAATTGTTATTCTTAAAATTCAACTTTTTATTTCTCTTACCAAAGTTATAATCCTTTTTTCTATATTAATATTTTCTATATAAATTACTTCTTCTTCATTTAATATACGATCTTCCTTTCCATTTTCTTTTAAAATTATTTCAATTTCTTCAAATGCTTAATCAAATTTTCCTAAGTTTAATTAATATCTGATGGTTTCTTTTAAAAAAATAAATGAAAGTACAGATGCAATAGTTAATGGTATTCCATTAAATAGCATTAAGCCTCTCCAATTTCCAGATTCCAAACTATCTAAAAATACAAAACAAAGAATTATTAAACATATTTTTCCTAAAACAAAAAGGAGTGAAACAGAAAAGCTAAATCGGCCTCTAAATTTTGCTTCAGTAATTTCTGAGAGGATAATAAATCCTAATTAATAGGTTATTCCAAATATTGCTCCAAATAACAACCTTAAAAGGATCATTTCTATATATGTATTTGTAAAACTTATATAAAAACACAAAAACGCACAAATTGCTGTAGAAAATGCAAAAGTTGTTTTCCTACCAATTTTATCTACAAGAAAAGCACATAATATGTTCCCCAATACTATCCCTAATAAATATGATGAACCAATGTTAGCTATTTAAGATGAAGTTAAACTCCATTCAGATTTAAGAATTGACATCATGATTGACATAAATGTGAACAATATTCCATTACAAAACTCAACTAGTCCAACAATAGACATAGTTTTGAATTGATAAAATCCAGTCCCAATTTTCTTTTCTAGAATTTAATCAAATGATATCATAATATAAAAAATGTTAATAATCATCAAGGTTGTAGGATATTAAGAAATGGCAGAATACAATTCTATAATTAACAGTGTTGAGATTAATTAAAAATATTCTTAATGATTGAATTAAGCCTTTATTCATAAGAAATTTACTAGTCGCAGAAATCATCAGAATCAAAAGTTCATATTTAATTATACTATTTTTCTTACCAAAAATAATTCTCTAATTTGTATATGAAGACCTACTTAATCAGATTTTTTGTTGCTAAAAATTTGAGATTACTAATTTTTACTAAATGAGACTTATTTTTAGGATGAAAAAATTTCTTATTATTTTCTGCTTACATTCTATTTCATCCAACATAATAACTATAACTATTACTATTATATAACAGGATAAGTTATATATATATAATATTATGTTCAGGTATTACTAAATCAAATATTATATATAATTATATTTAATATTCCAAAATTAATTTTTAATTTTATGTAAATAATGAGTAAGTTTACTACAATTTCTAAGTACGCTAAGCATATGTTGGTACTATAAAAAATAAACTGGTTTTAACAATTTCTGAATAACTTGCATTCAGCAATGAAATAATTAATGATGAGTATTTAAATTTTCTTTTAATAATGTAAAAATAATACTTATAGTCTATCAGAAAGCTTCAATATTTTCTTAATGAACTTCATC